AATATGCACCGCGATCTTGAGAAGTTAAGGATGATGAAGAAGGATGATACTCTTGCTAAACCTGATCGTTTATTCTCCATGTCCTTGTTAAATGCTTTCTGCACATCCTCTTTAAGTTCCATGAAGCGCCTTTTTTTCAATTTTTGTTCTTCTGGAGTTCCCTTCTCCAGGAACAAAGAATCAGGCATCTCCGCATCTTCTAGAAAGTTATCAAGCACGTCCGAGCAATGCGGGAAATAGCGTCTACCCGTCTCCACTGCCAAAATATAAAACTTGACAAATCATTATTATGAAGAGCGATATTTAAATCCAGAGCTAGCAAGTCATGTAATTTCAAGCTGCAAGTCCAGTTGTTTCAGTAACAATTAAGTTGTCATAGGAAACAAAATGCATGAATTAGACATGTCTAACTATAATAATTAGGATTTTTCATTCGTTAGAAAACGAGCAATATCCCTGAGTTAAAAAGTTCATATTCATTCCTTCCTTTTGCCTTTATCAAAGAGGGGATAGGAGGGTGTGAGGGTGTAATGGTGATGGGTCTCAATTTCTGGTTTCGTGACCATTCTTAAGACATCAAGGCATCAGAACGGTGGAAAATATCACTCAGTAGATGTTATTTGAAAACAGTAGCTCTAAAAAAATACTGAAATAACGTATCAATGAAACCTTCTCAGTAACATAATACTATGCACTGTTTCTTATAAAAGGAGGGACATGAAAAACAGAGAGGGAGAAAACTTTCATTTCCTCAAGTCCAACATATAGTCCAAGAATTTTCGGGAGGACCTTAATAGCTCATGCTTATCTGACCCAAAGTTATACATCTTAATTCCTAACGGAGATTAACAAGTACGTCTCAGTGATATATTATCACAAATATAACAATCACAAAGTTCAAGATTATACAACCAGTACCCAAAAGTCACCGAGCTTACATATGCTTGGCTATCATTTGTGACCCATCGATACTAAACACTAATAGCTCAACAACTATATTCAAATCATCAGCATTTTTCTTAATAGTACATCATATGATTTCTTAAATAGAGCTCAACAATAATATGTTTCTCTAAGGTAAGATTGGAGCATCACAAAATTTTGTGATGATTGCAGAGGATTTGTTTCCACAATTTCACTCCAAAGAGTTCATGAGCAATCTCATTATATTCTCACCCTACATTGAGTAGATATATGATTCGTATTTCCTAAGGGTTTAAGTCACTAAATCCAACTGACAACTGATAGTGGTTTGATCTGCAAAAGCTACGTAAGTACTGGACCCAAGCATACATTTCTACTAGTTTTAATTAAGCACCAATAACTTTTAAAATAGATAATACCTGTTTTATGAAGTTTCTGCAGTTGCAATTGTAACCTTTTGGTCCATACAGTGTGAGTTTCATTTAGATCAACGTCTCTTAGATTACCACTTGAGCCCATTGATTTTGAAGCTGACAGGCCAGCATTAGCTGAGCTCAAACTTGCATCAGCAATCTCCATAGCTAGTTTGGCTTCAGCAGGGAAAAACAACCGTGCAAATGCCACTGCCACATACAAGAAAACTGTTAGCATTCATTCCCGATAAGGATGAATTAAACATTTGAAATAGATTATCTCAAACAAAATTATGGGTGAAAAAATCTTGGAAATGATAATGACCTCAAATTTTTATCTTATGATTAGATGTGACTAAGATCTTGATCAGAAATAGAGCCAAGATGTCCATCACATTGATTTACACTTGCACTATGTCTGTTTTTAGTTTTTTCTATTTTATATATGTTTATTCTTTACTGGATTTTGTGGTTAGACATAGGTATTATTTCACACAAAACTAGCAATGAGATATTTTTCCAATAGATAGAGAGAAGATAGAAATGAGTCACTGCTCGGTACATAAAAATATTTTGTAGTTTTCATTTCCTAAATTTGAGTTTGTATATGTATTTATTGATAAAACATATAAAATAAATTGTGTTTGCAGACAAATCAAGTATAAAAAAGAAAGAGTCTTCTAGAAAATACTAAAAACAAATATCATGTAACATTCCATTTAAGCACTAAGACTAGAAAATGATTCTACTATCTGCCACTAATGAAGTAAATGCCCAGCTCAGTTTGTAATCTCTCTCTCCAGAATCTCCATGCATGAAGGTTTGTTCCTCCCACTCTCCCTTCTCTTTCAGACAAAAATATGCCCAATACACAAAACCGCAGATGTATCCCTGAACATCAATACACCAAAGTGCACATAAAGGATCTCCTATATATACACTAAAATATATCAAATCCCTATGACATAAAGGAACTAAAATACCATTCAAGAATGCAAATAAAATGTGAAAGAAGTGTTAAAATTATTAAGATAGGTTTAACTGAAAATACTGTAAAATTAAATATTTTGAAGATATGAAGGATTAATTTGATAGAAAAAGATGGCAATTCACTTTCTCTCTCACTTTTTGTTGTTTTTTCTTTTTCTGGTGTAGATAGAGACTCAAACCCACAATAATTTTGAGGGAACCTTCAACTAATATAGTGAGAACTTCTATAGCTTCTTAATTTCGGTTTCATAAAAGGATAGTCCACTTCACTTGGGGGCATTCTCCTCTCCGGCTTTTCCAGTATAAGCCAGTACTTCAAGACACCATCCTCAAATGACAAAATAGCACTTCAACCATTAAGGAGACCCTTAATCTCAACAACACATGATTTCCTCTGCCATATGCTAAATAAATAAACAGCTACTGAACATAACCATAATGATCATGATAAAAAATTAACGTCAGAACACATGAAAAACATAATATATTCAATGAAAATTGATAAAGAAAAATAGATATGCATCTCCAAAGTACTGAAACTTTTAAATAGTCTCAAGAGTAACTACTGAACATCTGCAATCAGAACAAAATATCTCAAATACAGTAAGTGAAAAATATGGATATTAAAAGAACAATAACAATATTAATAAATTAAGTACCTCTATCCTCCAGATAATCCAGTGTCCTTTGCAAATCATCAGTATTCATAGGTGATGAAATTGGGACATTCCCGGAGACTGAATTTCCCATCTCTCTCTCCAGGATGCCAATGCATATCCGATCTTTATGGGATACTTGCCCCTGCTCTATGTTCTTGTTATAGTCTTTCAGCCTTGTGAGTCTTCTACAGATTGCAACAGCAGTTTGTCCATCCAACGTAGTTCCCGATACAGAGGCTCCTTCAGTCAGTAGTGCCATCAGCAGTGATGGCTCCTTGCGTCTTGCAGCCACATGAAGCACAGTAAGGCCTCGAGGGTTCCTAAGACTAAGATCAGCTAAGCCAAGACGTAGTAGCTCCTTAACAACCTTAGGGTCACAGTAGGCTGCAGCATAGTGGAGAGCGTAGGCCTTGTCTAAAGTTATATTGGATTCACTGAGTAATCGATTCACCAGTTCAACGTCATCAGAGTCCAGTGCCATGTGAATTTTCTTAATGCTCTTTTCATCCACAGCGTCCACTTCCAAATCACTTGATTCATGGTCTTGCTGAATTTCGAGGCGTACTGATTTAAGTTTACTAAATACTTCAGAAGGGAGTTCTTTGCTGAGACACGCACAATCAATATCTGACCTCGCAACTCTCTGAATGCAGTTAGAGAGAAGCTGGTTAAGTTGGCAGTGAAAGGCCGCTACAAGAATTGGGATTACATCTTCTACAAAAGCCTTCTCGACAAAATCTAGCAGACGACGCTGCATGCAGATGTTGAGTCAGAATGATAATTCAAACTAAAATATCTGGAAGGTCAACTACCATTGACAAATACAGCATGTTCTCTCTGCAAGACTGTCTCTTTCTCAAAGCTAAAGAAACTCACAGACGCTAATCTTGAGGAGACAAAGAAACACTTCTACCATTTGAATTCAAAAAGTTGAGATCAAGAGCTTTACAGACTATCAGATTTAACATCACTAGGAAACAGAGAATCTATTTGATTGGGAATATGTCAATCTAAGCCTGGGATAACATTTAAACATTAACACTTTAAAGACAAAATGTAAATGCAGACAAATATTGGGAGAGAAATAACACCATAAGTTGAAAATCTCCTGGAAATCATCTTGCCCTGTTAGTTTCCGATCAAACATGCACATAAGCACAACTATGAGACAAGCAAATGGTATTGTATGTGGTAACAGGATCAAAATCCATTGCCTAGAACTTTGATTTCAAAATGGAAGAGTTTCTACTTTTGGCTCTCCGAAAAACTAGTTAGAATATAGTGCATTATATATCCATATGGGGCTGGTTATTGGACTCTCCAGATCAATATAAAGCACATGGAAGTTGAATGAAAACAGGAACTTGTAGTAACATCCAATATTTATATTTGAATTGAGGTATATAGAATAGCTAATTATGAATTCCACAGCATCAGTAATATCAATAGGCACAAAAGCTCAAAGCACAGATTACCTGAAGAAGCAGAACAAGTTCTTTCACCTGGAAAGTGGCAGAAGCATACATCAATTCCAAAGCATAAGTAATAGCAGGACCACACGCATCATGATTACAGGTAAGATCAACACAGGTTGAAACTTCCGGCGGAGATGGCCTGAGCTTCCCGGTATACAAATAATTCAAGAACACGCTGAATGCTTCATATCCAACCACACCAAAAGGCACCAACTCAGACATAAGATATCTTGGTTTACCTTCCTTAACTACTCCCTTGCTAAAAAGCTGATGAAAAAACTGGCTGCGTGCAGCCAATATACAACGGTGGACGGCCACGGGTTTGTCTTCAACAACAATCTCGGCATCACTGTAGTCATATTCAGAGTGAAACAGTAGGTTTTCAAGGTTGCAGCTGAGCTTGTTTAGGCTCAAATTTTCAAGACTTGTACAAGGATCGTGGCTAAGGCTACTGGAACTACTTGATAGATTAGAGGAGGCGAAGCTCAAAGAGGATGACATTTCACTACCGTTTTCCATAATTTCTCTGCTATATGACTATTTCTATGCTCCCTCCATCGTAACCTGCAGAGGAATATGAAGCTAGCCCCATCAAATTGTGATTTACATTTATATAACACGAAATTAAAACCAGCGTTATCTCACAAAAGAATGGTGAAAGCAGAAGCAGGAGATGAATCCAACAAAAGAAACTATAACTGACCTTGCTGTTGAATCGGGGATTCTCTGACTCTCCTCGAATCCAATGAAACATGGGAAAGGAAAAAAAGGAAAACAGAGAGATTTGGTCAAAATTTTTTGAATTAAACTGTGAATGTTGCGAGCATGGAGCAAGAAAGGAAACGTTGACTGATGACTCAGGTCTGAAAATAGAGAGTGAAAGAGAAGATATAAAAGAAATAAAATGAATGAAAATATTTGCGGCCTTATTAATTTAACAAATGCGTTACATTAATTATTACTCATTTAATTGAATAGACAAAAATTTATATACGTCATATTTATTTATTTTTTTTAAAAAGTAATTTGCAGAATTTATTAAATTAACCTTTTAAATTTAAAAAATTATATATATATATATATGCTTAAAGTGATTCTTTTTGCAGTAATAAAAAATACTTTTTGTTATTAATTTTAACAGATTTTATTATTTTTTTAATTAAATTGTCAAAGAGTTTAATTTTAATATTTAATATTTTAATTATTTAAAAATATTTTTAATTATTTTAATATAATTCTTTACAAAAAAAAAGGTGGTATTATTTTTTTAAGATGCTATTTTTTTTTTGTTTAAAGTATACTTCTCTTTACTTACAATTTAATTTGGTTATTTTTTTCAATAAGATTTTAGAATTTTCTTTTTTACCAAATATAATTTATTTTGCTACAGGCAATAATAGAATTTAAATTATAAAAATTTATTTTATTTTTTGTAATATTGTAATTTTTCGAATTATTTTTTTAAAATTAAAAAAAAATCGGATTAATGACTAACGGCTGACAATATATTTATGAATCTTAGAAAAGTAACAATAGTTTTTCAATGTTGATCTCCCCTGTATCGCTAGCTCGGCAACTATTTGATGCCGAGGATATTTGAACTTCTTTAATTATGTGCCATCGGAAATTGGCTACTTCCTTAAACATCATATGGTGCAACTTAGCGCGAAAAAAGAAAAATATAACAAGATTAGCATCGAGATTAAGCTTTGTGTTTATAACATACAACCAACGCTAGAAATAACCCTTCGCTATCGAACCTGTACCCTCGTACTAAAATCATGACGACATTCTTCCCATACTCAATAAACATCTTCCCCTCTGTCTGCCTTCTTAACAGAATACCTTCGTTTTTCCATTATGTGGATTGCCTCAACAGACTCCAAGCTGGGGCATAGAAATTGGCTCCTCCTGAACCCAGATTCTTCAATCTCAGACTAAGTCAAATCTCACTGCTTTGCCATTCTAGCACGAGGAAGAACAAACATGAAATCCAATCTCTAATCTGTAACCCTTTGCTATCTACATTTATTCCTGCGCTGCCGCTTCAAAGGCTCTACCCTTGGACCAAATGATCTGTGCTTCCCAGAGTCAGATTGTGCAGAATGTGCTGAAGGCTTCTGAGATTGCCTGACTGCTGGTGTAGCATTCTGCCTGCCTGGCTCATTCTGAGATTGCCTGACTGCTGGTGTAGCATTCTGCCTGCCTGGCTCATTCACATGTCTTGGTGCTACAGTTTGATCATAACAGGAAGAAGAGTTCTTGAAAGCATTACGGTCCATAAGAGACTTAAGAAAGCCATTTGGATTCTGAGCTGTACCTCTCCTGCCAGATGCGGGCTTTCCAATCTCAGTTGCATTCACCATTGAAGTTAGTGATTCCACAGAATCTGGGGGAAATGTGATCCCCGATAAGCCATCAAATGATAAAATGCAGGCTACTGCATATATCGCATCCCCAAGAACAGGAGGAAGATCCTGTCGTGGATTTGTCACCTAAAAACATAAATAAAAAAATCAGATAAAGAGGACAATTAGAGACTTCAAAATATCCACTTGCCTGACAAATACAGTGATTAAAGAAAAAAGCGTGATTACTTCGGAAAGGATATAGGTTATGCAAATACAGTGATTAAGGAAGCAACATAATTACTTTGAAAAGAAGAGAGGCAGATAACCGTTCTCTCAAGCAGTAAATTTGAGCAACATCAAGAGCAGTTGATCTAAATGAGAGCCATCGATCCACCACCACCATGACAGAATTATCAGGTGACGACATGAATTTCTCCCCTTCTTGTCCGCCTGACCTACCAACCACCTCCATTTCTTCATCACTGTCATCTTCATCACCATCATCATCAGTCCCATCATCATCATCATCATCATCATCATCATCACTGTCCTTTGAAGGAGCCACAGCAATCTCTGATGCAAATAATAATAATGGGAGTGGCCCAACAACCGTACAATTCCTTATACTCATGCCCCCATCCCCGCGTGTCACTTCATCATACAAAATTAAAGGACAGTCATTAGTTTGCTTAAAGGACAGTTTAAAATTGATGGAATGGGAATGCAACCGCACCCTAGCACCACTAGCAGTCTCTACAGAAAACCGCCTGCCATTTTTAGGAGGTTGACACAACCTTCCCACCATAGGATATAAACCAGCCACAAGGACAGCATGGAGTATACCAGGGTCACGAGAATTGAGACTATAACTTGAGACATCACCGATAATAAACCCATGCCTGATCAGCTCTGACTGGAGCTCCTTGCGCATGCCATGCAACATATTCATGGTGCTTGATGATACAAAATATTGTGAACAAAACCGAGCCTCTTGACCTCTTCGTTTCGCATTCTGCCAGCACTCATAAGCTGCTATGACTGCTAGGTGATCACTTTGAGCACCGTACAATGAAGCAAGCTCATATTTAGCAGCAGCAGCTCTCTTCTTTTCATTTGGCAACATGGGAAGTGTAAAGGGCTCCCTATAGTCAGAGGCACATGCCATCGTCAAAGCAGGATCAAGGCAGTTCATCAATATGGCAAAGAAAAGCATCTTGCATGTCAATGGATGAACAGGAAGACAACCTAGCTTCTCCCCAAGTTCGGTCAGTTCTTCACCATTTGACAAAGCCCCAATATCTTGAAGGACAGCAATTGCATTATGTATGGTTTCAGAAATTGGAGGGTCCATCGTTTTCTGTAGGAACTCTTCTATTTTGCAATTTGGATCAAGTAACTTCACCTATACATGTAAAAACAAATTAAACAACAAAATATGCATTACAAGTTCTGCAATGCAGATATGCAACAACTAATTTCAAGAGCCAGAGTTCTAACAGAAGCAGGGAAGAAAATAGCTTTCCATCAGACTACTATTCGTCCAGCTTCTGTCGGAATAAATGCAAGAAACTTAATACTGAAAAAAAAAAAAGCATAAAGAGTACCTGTAGACAAAGTTCTTCAATTGGCATTCTCTTAATTTCAGGAACTTGGAAATCTGGCAAAGAAGCTGCTCGAAGTTTTGAATACAGATGATAACAAATTCCAGGCTGACAGCGGCCAGCACGACCCTCTCGTTGCTTGGCATTTGCTTTTGAGACCCAGGAAGACTGAAGGGTTGATACATTATTATAAGGATCATAGCTTTTCTCTTTCATCCGACCACTGTCTATAACATACACAACATCATCAATGGTAATTGCACTTTCAGCAATATTAGTTGAAAGTACAATTTTACGGCAGCCAGGAAGTGGAGATTTGAAGACTTTCTTCTGTTCCACAGATGGAACCATTGAATGAAGAGATATTATAACAAATTTGGAACTATCTCTGAAAAATGGGTTAGCAAGTAATCTTTCTCGTGTTTTATTTATATCCTCCCACCCCGGTAGAAAAACAAGGATAGCTCCCACTTTTGAATCAATGCAAATCTTTTTCAATAACTGCTCTATGAGGATAGCATCAACAAATTCAGGGTTGATTGTTGCTAGATATTTATCAAGTAGCATTTGTTGTTCCAAGGAATCAGGAGGAGCATTTTCCATTTGTTTTTTTATTATTTCAGCAGCCTCTTGCTGACCTTCTCCTTCAGCCAATCTCAATGCTGTTGTGCCATCTTTGGCCTGCAGATGGCAATCTGCCCCAAAAGAGAGTAGCATGCAGACATCAAGCACTCTACCCTTTCCAGCCAATACCATTAACGGTGTTAATCCATTCAAAGAATGCTGGTAATTGTAAATCTTTGGAGTTCCTTCGGAAGATACCAAATCTAGGAGAGAATCAAACTCATTACTTGACCAAGCCAAATGAATAGCTTCATCTAAAGCAATTCTATCTTCCTCTGTCAAATCAGTGTCTTCATTTGTGGCACTTACACAAGCAGAATCAAGATGGTTATTTTCTGAAGATTTCAGGATAGAAAGTACATCTTCCAAAAAAAATGTTTTAACCTGGATCAAAGCAGCAAGAAGATTATCATACAGCCCAACCTACTTAAAATGAATAATAGATAACTCATAAGTCTTCAGAAGGAGCCTTACAGGATATGTGAATCCAGGGACACAAATGACCGGGCAGCCACCAAAATATCGTGAAAATCGATCCGCATCAAGAGTAGCACTCATTAATATCTGTTGTTGATTCATAATAACATGAAATGTTAATTTTCTGGAATCATTCTGAACCTGGGAATAGCAACAAATTTCCAACTACTAATTTCTTTCCTACATCCTTTCAGTATATTTTCAAAACCATCTATCTAATTTATTGTGTTATGTGCATGAGATAGTGGATGCCTGTGTGACAATACCTATCCAAAATTTGAGAGATCGATGTAGGCTAAAAGGACCAGCAAACCTCTAGACACAGGGTGACGACAATTTTCATTGACTCTGCCAACTTTGATTACCAGTAAAAAAACGTACTTCACTTGGTAAGGAGCTCAGCTTGTAATACTTTAAGGTCAAACACCAGCGAATAAGTTTCAAATTTAAACTACTAGTTATCAAAAACAAGCTCAAAACATTAATAACTTGTGACTTTAACTGCTATATAGAGCTCAAAAATTACATACATTTCGAACATAATATTAGAATATCACAATCTCCAATACTTAAATTCCTAAAACAGTCATCAAAGTTACACTGGTAATCACAAATCATATGTCAAAGCTAGAGATCTAAGATTGCATATAGACCTGTACACTGGCCCTGTGGCCAACCCAAGCTTGCTAGTTCAACTTGTAAGTTTAAGGCCTTGGACATGTACTTCGAGCCCATGAGTAATGCTTGAACAAAAAAAATAAGTCCCGAAAAATAAAAGGTCAAACTTGAGTTTGACTAATTTTAGTCCAATTGATGCAGAGTAGAAAGCTCCTAAAGTGGAATAATAGAAAATAGAGGCAAAATCAATAAAGGAATATAAACGTTTTGGGAAATTAATCAAAAAGAAGAGAAAAATTAAA